GCGCCATCCGGATCCGTTCCCTGGTCTGTCTTCGATAAGGAAGACCGAGGCAGTCAAGCGAGCTCTGGTTGGTAGACCAGTAACCGTACCATGATAAGGGCACCCTTTTGTGGGTTGGTTATGCTATAAGGGAACCCAGAACCCAAACAAAAAGGGGGAACCACTGGGCCACCAAGGGTGCAGGTCTTGCAATGCCTCGTTAACCCCTAAACCCAAAGAAGCCTAAAGCCTATGAGGACTCCGGACCCCACACTTGATATCACTGGATGGCCTGTAGCTACCAGATCACGCCTTTCTGCCAGACTACGACGTGGCCGCACGGGTCTCAGAGAATCAGCTGGTACCTCCGAAGAAGCTTGGACCGGAGCTTGTTGGAGGGTTGCATTTTTGGTTTAGGGTTTAGGGTTTAGGGTTTAGGGTTTAGGGTTTAGGGTTTAGGGTTTAGGGTTTAGGGTCAGACGGCGGGGGCTGCAGGGTTTAGGGGTCTAGGCTTTAGGGTGTCAGGGTTCGGGGGGGGGTTTAAGATGTGTCAAGTGTGCAACTTCTGTTGCCGGGGGTAGCATCTTAAGCACAGCCGTTCTTAACATAAAGGCAATCCATCGGTCTGAATGCTGGAAACTGTGCTAAACTGACCCTATCACCTTCCTGTTAAATCAAGAGCCATCATTTATGGCTGTTTGTCTAAAGTCTCCAAAACAGTCGGCAAACCTCGACTGCACATGAAATGGGAATCGAAACTCCCTACCCTGAAACCTATCAGCTGGCCTCAACACAAAAGAAACAACAGAAACCTGGACTCCCCAAACCTCCCCACCCCCCACCCCCCCGCACCCCCACCCCACCCCCACCAAAGGGTGCCCGTTTGGGGATCTTTTTGGTGTTAAGGACCCATGAACGAGAAGCAAAGCGCCGAGGTATCCAGGGTGCTGGATGCAGTTTGGACTTTAGGACTCATTGCCTCTTGTACTCCCCTTAGAACCCTCATAGGAAGACTACCTTGAATATTCCCTTGGGCTCTTATGAGCAAACGCGGATAACATAAGACACAAACCCGAAGCAGACAAAAGTTTAGGGTTCAGCTCAGGGGCTCAGGGTTCACAAAGCCCTACCACTGCCGCGGCCTCGTGCAGCGCGGGCGCGGGCCCGAACACTTTCAGGGCGCGGCATATCCTGGCTCGTTTTTCAAGGGGCCCTGACGTAGAACAACCCCGGCTTGCAGAACATGCTCTCACCGGGGATTGAGTGGTTTTCTTTGGGTTTAGGCTTTGTAGAGATAAAGCTAGGGTGGGGAGAGACAGGGATCTTGTGGTCTTGGAACTCCCTGAACCCAAAAACATCCCGCAAATAAGGATTCAGGGCTCCCTCAACCCCAACCTAAACCCAACCTAAACCCTGAACCCCAGGATAAGTAGCGGGGTCAGGGACGGGCCTGCATGTCGCTGGGGAACCATCGTGCGGCCGAGACCTGCAAGACGCAGTCCTCGGCCACGAGGGAAGGGGAGTGGGGTTTAAGGTTTAGGGCTTAGTCAGGTATAGTGACGATACACTTAAGATGCAGGGTGACTTGAACTCTACCCAAAGCACAGTCCTTCTGACCTCGGCAGTAGGGTCTAGGGTGACCCGTTGGCCTGTAGCAGGTTTGTGAACATCTCCTACCGTTGATACCTGTAATGCTGGCTGGCAATGGCAGCTGCCACTGCAGGATAAACGTGCGCAACAAAAAACCTTGCAGATTATAAGCAACCCAATCGTTTGTCACAAGCCACAATTCCTCGCATGTGTTCACTGAGCCCGAACCTGATTCAGACTTCCACTGCTTAGGGATCTCTCTGCTTGGCCAAGCCACGAGCATGCCGGCATGCCACTTAGCCTCATCCAGGGAAGAAATCCGAAGTGTACGCCACATACAAGCCCCCAATACCCTAGAAACTCTAAAAACTCTAACACCAAACCCTTACACCCCTAAACCTAACCCCCCCTTCCATGCTCTTGCAGAAAACTGGCGCGAGGCGTCCGAAACTCTTAAGTAAAAAGGGGTACAGGGTATGGGGATGAGGGATTCCTCGCTCCACTTCCGCAACTCTCCCGTTTGTCCATTGAGGACTTCTGCAATCCGGCTTTCGCTGAGCCCTGATGCGTCAATGCCTCCCTCGTTTCAGAGGAAGCCCTTGCCTCGACCCCTCCAGCAAAGGGTTGGGTTTCAAGCGGCTGCAACATGGCGGAGCATACTGCTGCCGGGTCAAGGTACCGGTGAGAAACGCACTCGCAAAACGTGAGGCCCAGACTAGAAATGACTCGGCGCACGTGCTCCCAGCATCGTTGCGTCTCCGAAATCCACCACCTTGTGCTGCTCTCTCTGGGTCGGTTCTGAGGCTTGTCATCCCTGTGGATGATGATTTTCCTGCTGCAAAAGCCGTAGCGCCCCAGGCAATTTGATCAAGCCATTTCCTAGCTGCTGAGCGCACGACGGGCAAGCCTCTTATCAAAGGGCTCCAAACGCTCCAGCACCATTGCTGTCATGTGCGCTGCCGCTGTACGCACCAAACACCGCATCTATACGACAGCAGGATGGGCCACAGGATTGGCCATATTCGCCAGGATATGTGCCTCCGTCGATACTTGTTGCGAAGCACCCCGTTTTAAAGCAACCGACTCCCCATACCGCGTAGCATCAAGAACGGTGGCCGACGTGCCGGACCCAAGTTTTCCCTTGACCACGAGCCCAGCGAAGGAATCTTGAGTCGGCACAGTTGCGACTGACTCGCCAATGGTGGGCTCCTCGCTGCTACTGGCCGATTGAGCCGTCACCTTCATCTCGGTCTGCTTCCTACCTTCCGCCATCTAAAAGGGGGACGAGAATCAACTCCGACGCACGTTTGCGTCGCTTCTCTTCCTCCAGCTTTCCCAGCTCACTGAATCAACCACGGGGCAGCCCTGGAAAGCGGACCCCCGCGCGTTGGGCTCTGTTGGCATCCTTAAGTCAAAGCAACCAACCCACTTGCACTCAACACCACCCGATAGCAGGAAACTGGCTCATAATGATGCATCATGTGTCAAGACGAGACATTGCTGGCAGCACCCCCCTTTGGGTTACTGGAAATCCTGTGGCGGGGTCTCATTCTGGGTTTACGGCGGAGGGCTTCGGGGGTTTTGCGAGGGTTTGGCACTCCGGCGCCTGCTCTTCCCAGTCCGGACATTCGTCCATGAGGTTGAGCGTGCCCATGGCGTGCGCCGTCTCGCCAGGGTCCTTCCTTAGGCAAGGAGCGCGTGGGTGGACCCTGCCAAGACTGGATGTCCGATTGAAGAACCCTAAAAAAACGCCGTGAACCCCAAAGCTGGCCCTGCTTCGCGCCGCAAAAAAAGATGAGAGTACTTCTGGGTGTGGCAGCTGCATTCCCAATCCCCCTTCCTCTTGTACCATGGATGGTCAGTGTAGGGTCCTAGAGTTGAGGGTTATAGGGGCTAAAGCTTCAGGTTTACGCGTTTGGGTCTTAGGGGTGGCCACCAAGGTACTTGTATCAAAGAGGATACTTTGGCCCCAAAGCAGCGCAAGAACCTTTCTTGCATTGGATCTCTTGGGTTCGAATCGAAGGCTTCTGCAAGGCTCTGGCAGTTCCAAGCGTCCGGGAAACTTGGCCCCTAAAAACCCTAAACCCACTAAACCCCCTTAACCCGAACTTCCCCACAGCCACGAAACCCTTTTTTCCTACGTATTTACTGCCTGTGAAGTGAGGAGGAATAAAGAAGCAACTATGGGGAGGGAAAGAACCAGAATGCGTACAACACATAGTGTATCTATGAGTCTATCTTGCAAACACAGGAGAACATGTTATAGGTGCCGTTCGGCAGCTTGCCTCGAGGTCGCAGCACTGCGCCACATGTTCGGTGACGAAACCCTTAAAACCCCGTTAAAAAAAAAACCTAAGCCCTAAATTGCTTAACTACGGAAGCCCAGCGTCTGAAGTCTCACGGCCGTCTTGATGAGTCGGAACCCAGGGCCATAGCCCATGGCACCCCATCGGAAGGCATAGTACATCAGCCGCCTGGCTATGGGTTTAGGCTTTAGGGTTCTTTAGGGTTTTGGTTCTTAGCGCCCAGGGTACATCAGCTGCCTGACGTGCGGGTTCTTAGTAGGGAATGAGTGTATAGGTAACCTAAAGGGGGTGTAGATGTTTCTACTCTTAAAAGGCATATGTAATTCATAAGCATAATGACAACAATTCTCATCATAACAAGGGGGATATAGGGTACCTTATTCCGTCATGTTAGAGCCGGCTAGTTAAAGGAGGACAGCTTCCAGAACCTCAGATACCAGGTAAAGCCTAAAACCAGATTTAAAGAAAACCAAACAAATATATACATATATATATATATATATATGCATATATGTACACACACATATAGATATATGCACACACATATATAAAAATATATATGTGTATATATGTGTGTGTGTGTATAAAAGTTCTAACTCTAAAACGTCGGTAAAAAACTATAAAACGCTCTCAACCCCCTATAAAGCCGAAACCCTCTGTCTAAACCATCCTAGCCGTTGAGCCAGAAGGCCTCCCAGCCTTCGAAGTGGATCTGGGGATCTGGGGCCCAAGTGTACACTCATGCGGTACATGGTGCCCTACACCCTACACCCTACACCCTACACCCTACACTCTACACCTTACACCCACACCCCAAACCCCAAACCCCAAACCCTAAACCCTAAACCCTAAACCCTAAACCCTAAACCCTAAACCCTAAACCCTAAACCCTAAACCCTAAACCCTAAACCCTAAACCCTAAACTGCAGCGGACTTTTAGGCTCACGGGGCCTTCTCTATGCTAAGCCAAAAGGGCTACGGTGACACAAAGCTACCAAGACACTGAACAGACAAAACAAGGCCTCTACTTTCCTACACGCCTCCCGAGGGCGGCAGGACGAACTCAGCAACCGTTCGGCTGTCCGAGCTGGAAAATCGCTACCAGAGCGTAGCCGCTCAAGCCCTTCAGGCGTTCAGTGCCAAGTGATGTCTACCGTCTGTGTAGTGATAGTTCATTCCGCTGAGAAGCATCTGGATTCGGGTTCTTTCCAAAGGCTTCGTAAGAAGATCTGCCAACATCTCGTCGGTTCCCTTCTTGCCCAGCAGAATTCTCCCTGATGCAACAACATCCTGCACCCAAAGGAATACTGTATCAATGTGTTTCACACGTCCCAGTCCATGGCGAGAACCGATGGATAATCCGGTATTTTCATCCATCCAGGCTTGGATGGGGAGAAGGATTCCCCAGTCCTTAAGAGTGGATTGCTCTCCAAGAGCATTGCATGAACCAGATACCAATCCATAGTATTCTGCCTCACCACTGCTTAGAGCAATGACAGCTTGGCTCTTACATCCGGTCTTGATGGTAGAGCCTCCAAGTCTAATGCAATAGCCTGTTGTGGATTTGCGGGACCGCAGGCACCCTGCGTGATCAGCATCCACCCAAAGCGTAAGTTTCGGGACACACGCTTGGTAGGGAAACAGGTGTACCAAACGCGGGTAGCTACGAAGATAGCGCGCCCCACGTTTGAGCATCATCAGATGCGCCGTGGTGGGACTTTTAAGTCCTTTGGCAAGCTCCTTTGCAAGCACCTGGAGATCTGGCCGGTCTTGCGATAGATAGGCCAAACGCATGCTCACAGAGCGGTACCACGAAGCATCCTCAGAGGATAACGGCTCGGCCTCCTCGACCTGCTCAATCCTCTCCTTTACCAAAGCCGTAGTAACCTTGGTGCCCTCACAGCCAACCTCCCTCAGGATTATGTCGACGTGTCGAGGGTCTGCTTCAAGCTCTATACCCCTGGAGGTCCACGACACCAAACGGTTGAGGATGTCGATGGACTGCTGGGTACCAACCATACCAGGCGGACCGAGGTAGCCACGAACTTCCACCGTCCAGTGTTTGCCCAGTTCTGCAGCAAACCACTCAAGCTCAGCCTTGGCTCCAAGGCCGGTGAAATCATCACCGTGAACTTCCACTCGAATTTCCTTTTCAGGATGGTAGTACAGACAGGAGTTGGAGCGCCCACGCACAAAGCCCAACTGAGTCATTACCCGCAGGATCGTCGCCTCCCAATTGGCTGGAGCATCTCGAGTTCCATAAAGGGACTTGCGCAGCAGGCCAACATACTTGGAGGTGTCCACGCCAGTTTCCGCAGGCAGCTCAATGAGCAAGCGTCGGCGAGCATCAGCCCAAAAATGCGCTTTCTTAATATCCATAAAGACCAAGCATTGGTCCTTCGGAAGATTGCGCATCTTTCCTTCCAGGTCTGGTGCCTTCTTTGTTGTTGCGAGGGCAAACAAAACACGCAGCGCGCTGATAGGCGGCATTGAGGCATAGAAGTCTTCCCATGTGGGCTGGTGCGCCTCCTGAGAGATGCCCCCTGGGTAACGCTTCTTAAGCTCTCTGGCCACAAGCCGGCTGCGGTACTTTGGGTTTGCCTCATCCTTCTTGTTGATGTCAACCCATCTGGTGGTGATGACCTTCTCTCCCTTAGGTCTAGGGATAACCTCCCAGACCCCCATCTCATTGATGGTTGAAACCTCCTCTTTGCGAGCCTCCTGCACAAGCTCTGGTCGAAGAGGTTTCCCCGACACATCGTCCCAATAGGACGTCTCAAACTTTTCGTAGAGATCTGTGTCGAACTTTTCTTCACATACAGGATAGGGATCCCCAGTAAACGAAGCTAGGAACCCAGCTCGAAGAGATAGAAGAAAGTCAAGTATCATGTCTCCTTCTTCTCCTCCGCCTGGATGCGGCCGCTTCGAAGATGAAGCCGGCTCGGAAGCCGTCACCTCCATGGCCGCAGGAACCCCAGGATCGGGTCTCGGTGCTGAACCAGCACTCGAGTCTCCAGCATCCAAGCGGGCTCGTTTGGCCTCTTCGGCCTTAGGCTTCTTGGCGACCTGCGCCTCCTGAGCAGAAGCCCCTTCGGTGGCCTCCGGAGGTGGATCACCAATCCTCAGTTTAGATCTCGGGGTCTCCTTCAACTTCGCCGCAGCTAGTCGCTTCTTTCCCTCGTCAGTCTTAGCCATCTCGCCGACCACCCGGCTTCTGCAAAACTCGGTGTGGTTAACACCCTCTCTAGAAATGCCCATCCGGATCAAGTCACAGGCAGGACAAGAAGCAGTGTAGCCATGTCGGTCGAGATCTTGCTGTCTCAGGTAAACTCTCTTCAAGAGCTCAGGCTTAGGCCCAGCCTCGACGTCAGTAGCCGGCTCGTCGGGCAACTCGGGCTCTATAGCCACGGCGGCGGGAAGCTCCAAAGCTTCGTCTGGACGTGCCGCCTTCTTGGGTTGAGGCGCCCACGGCGTCCCCTTCACCTTTTTAAACAACTCAGCATCCCACCTCAGCTCTTTCGGCTTCCGGCGGATAGACTGAACCACGACCACGCCATCTTCCGTGGCGATGATCTTTTCCGTAGTGCCAAGCCGAACACCACAGTATATACCAACTTGCCACCGGGGCTCCAGTTTGTGCTTTGTCCGCACCCGGTAGTCCACAGTTTCTCCCCAGGCAGGAAGGGCCACAGCCCAGTCACGTCCTTTTAAACGCCTGAAGGGGGTAAGTCCATCTTTCATGGTCTCGTCGTGGGAGAAGAGAGTATACATGCTCCCGGCATGTTCCACCAGCCAACCCAGAAGGGGGGACTTAGGATGGATACGCTCTCCCAGGCCCTTTTCACACGCATCCTTGTACGTGCGGCAGAGCCCTTGGGTTATCTCAACAGCGGCCTCGGCTTCGCCATTGCTCTTCCCATGATCATCGCCCTTGGGCGAGTGCTCCAGTTGTACACGCACTCCTGGTCGGGCAGCGAAAGAGTTCTTTACTGCCTCTGCCAACGCCCGAATGGAGCTCTCCTGGTCGATTTTCAAAACCACACTCGGATATCCAAGAAACCGAATGTCCCGAGCCAAAGCGTGCTCCGGGTAAAAGTGTTCGACGCCCTTAGAGGGCACAAGGTGTGAAAACAAAGCTTTGCTCTGGCGGTCACGAACCACAAGGACAGGCATCTTTGCCCCACCGACAGCACCCGAAGGTAGCTCGCCAGGAGCTCCAAAGAAACCATAGTCTATGGATATTACCGGGGTGCAAAGCTTTTGCCGCGTCCTCGGACACAGTGAGAACACCAAGCCCGATAGGGGATGTGACTCACATTGTGAGCTTCTATCTCCTCCGGGTTTGGTAGAGCCGGTGCTCGCATGGGCTTCGCGGCTCTTCCTTCTGAAACTTCTGGCACGGGGGCTTCGTCGCCTCCAGCAACGGGGCCCGGTGCCTCGCCCTCCAAGGGGCCCAGTGGGCCTGTTGGCTCTCGGGGGCCCGAGCTGACGCAGCTCTGGACCCCACTGTTCTTTGGTCTTACAGGCGAGCATCGCCCCGCCCCACGAAAGGGTGGGGGCTTAGCTCGAAAAGGCTGTTGGCGGTGTCCATCCACACCGGAAGGACGTACACACCGTTCTTGAGGAAGATCCTGTGTTTCTTCCCCGTGGTCGTCTCGAGGTAGCTCACCTTGACACCCAAAAGGACACGATTGCCCCGGGAGGTCACCTGCCCCACCGACAGGAGGGGCTGCGAGATCGCAGCCACCGAGGCCCGGATCTCCAAGGTCTCATCTCCCATGAGCCAGGCCTTAGTCTCCAGGGTCCCCTCGTTCTCGACCACGTTGCCGTCGGCCAGGCGGAAGCTGCGGTTCTCGACCACGTTGCCGTCGGCCAGGCGGAAGCTGCGGTAGCCAACGGGCTTCTTGAGCTTCGTGCGGTCACCCAGAAGCTTTCGAGGAAGGGTGGTGGCGCTGGCCCCAGAGTCCACCACGAAGTCCACGCGGGTCCATCCCGGCGTCGCAGAAGGGGCCGAGCCACCACTAAGGGCAGCCAAGTGCCCAACCCTTCCTTTCACCCTTTCGGCCTTTTCGGCCTTCCTTCTTTGCTCTCTCTTCCGCTCTTTCCGGTGCTTCTTCTTCTTCTTCGCCTCTGTGACCCTTTTCTCCGTAGGGGGTAAGGTCCTGGTCCGCGCCCGGACCTCAGGCAGCTCGGCGTGGGGGTCTTCTTGCAGCAAGGCGTTTCGAGCGTGCCGGGAGAGAGGAGCAGCGGCCACCTCGTCCTTTAGCGCGCCTTCGGCCAAAGGGAAGACTTGGGTCTTCTTCCCGGACCCAGGTTGGTTGAAGCGAAGAGCCCAGGTAAGCTGTGCCCCCAGGCTCTCTCTTGTACGCTTCTCCTGGGTGCCCAAGCGGTGCTTAGAAGCACGCCGTCGGGACTTCTCCTTGAGGTAGGCAAGGCGACCTCCCATCTCCGCTTTGTCTCTCTCCTGGCGACTGGAGTAGTTTTCTCTCTCCCCTCTTCGCGTCGCCTTCTGCTCGTCCTTGAGTTCTCAGGACGATTTCGAGCTCCTTGAGCTCCGTCTGGATGGCCTCACGCGACGGGTCGTCCTCGGCAAGGTCGTCGAGGGACTTGGTCAGAGCATCCCGTCGGGCCACCCTAGCGTTGAGCATCTCGCCTAGCAGCACCGAGCGAGAAGCCTTGGTGACGCCATAAGCCGCAGGGGCCCGCGCCGAAGACGGCGCTGAGCCTCCTTGCTGCTCCCGCCGATGCGGCGGGACGTACTTCCCAGACGCCGTGGCCCTCTCAGGCTCTTCCGGCTCTGGGTTTGCAGTCCGGGACTCAGGCACCGAGCCTTTAGCCTTCTCACCCTTCTTGGCCCTCTTATGAGGGGGAACGTACTTCTCCACAGAAGGCTGTGGTTCCTCCTGGGGCTCCTGTGGGGGAGTCTTAGGCTCAGGCACACTGGCGGACCTCCGGCGAGGGAGAGGTGAGCGACCACGACCCTTCTTGGGTGGAGGTCCTTGAGGTTCGGCAGGCCTCGTCGTGCGCGTGTCCACTGTACTGGCACTGGCCTCCGGTGCTGCCTTTGACTTGGCCCTAAGCTCCCTCCGGTGCGGCGGGACGTAGAGGCTTCTAGCTTGCTTAGGCAGTGGGCGATCCTCCTCCTCAGGTGGCGAAGTGCCTCGAGACTTCTTTGTCTTCTTCGGCAATGGCGGCTCCTCCTCCTCAGATGGGCGAAGTGCCTTGAGACTTCTTCGTCTTCTTCGGCTTGTTTCGCCCTCTGCCGCCGGTGACTGGGATCGGCTCACGGAACCCGAGGTGCCCGAACCACTGCCGTACCGATGCCCAGGCAGGTCACCTTCGGGCTCTACCCTAGCAGGGGTGCCCTTGAACCGGTCCTTCTTTTCTTTCCTGCCCCAGTCACCCCAGGCCTCTTCCGAAGTCTCCTGGGTCGTCTCCTCGACGACCTCGTCCTCGGCACTCTCGCTCTCGCTTTCTTCACCTTCCGAGTACAAGCTCTCGGGCACGTGTTTGGAGTAGTCGGGCTCCTCGGGAAGGTAAATCCACGTCGGGTCGGGGCCACAGTGTGCATCGGGGCCCCTTACTTCACGAAGGGGAGCTCGGACGTAGTACCTCTGTCGGGCCTCCCGGTCCCAAGCGGTCCACTGGTCCTTGTCAGGGTGGCCCGGAGTGCCCAACTTCGACCACAGGTGGGCGTTGAGGCCATCCTCGTTGTACCTTTTCTTTTGGCCCTTGCAGCCGGGGCAAGGACACCAGTAGGTGGTTTTACCATCCTTGTCCTTTCCCACAGCACACTGCGCAAGCGTCTCCGACCAGGGCTGCGACCACGCCCAGGACGAAGGTCCGAAGGCCGCTCGGCAGATCTGCCCCCGCGTCGGTGCAGGTGGGTCCGGTGCTGAATCAGCACTCGGCCCCAGCACGCACAGGTAGCCCAGATCGCCGTCTCCAGTGGGCTCCTCGCCCCCTTCTTCCTCCGGCCATTCTTGGCCGTCCGCGCCTTCGCCCTCGAGGGAATGGGCTTTGCCCTTACCAGGCTTGTTGCCCTTTCCCTTTCCTCCTTTTCCCTTGGACGGCTTGCCGCCTTTGGGGTCTTTCGGCGCTGGCGGCTTCCCAGTTCCACCGTTCTCCTTGGCGTACCAACAGTTGCTTTTGCGGTGGCCCTTTCTCTGGCACAGGCGGCACACGATGTCCTTGTCCGGGTTCCCTTGACCTTTGGCACCACCGCCCTTGCCGCCCTTGCCCTTGCCCTTGAAGGCATCGAGTTCCATCGGCGTAGCGCCGCCGTCGTCCACCTTTGCAGCCTTCTGCTCGGTATACGAGATCACTTCGGCGCGGGCCTTCGCATACGTGTCCAGCCGAGCAATGTTCATCTCGAGGTGGTCCTCCAAGGTCTCGGGCACCATGCTCAGGAGGATAGTCACCTTCTGAGCATCCTCGAGGTCCTTGTTGCCTCTCTGAACGTACTCGGCGAGGTCGGCCTCCCACTTGTCGATGGAGGCCCGCAACTGCTCCAAAGTGAAGCGGGGCTGCACAAGGATGCGGCGAAGCGCATGTTGCTCCGAGCATTGTGCGGCTCATATACGTGGCAAAGCCGACGCCACGCATCCAGGCCACACCTCTTCCGGGCATTAAACACCACCGTGTAGGGCATCTCGCTCGTCAGCGAAATCAAGGCCACATGCAACTGGCGATCCACATCCACGGCCTCCGGCACCTTGTTCACGTACTCGGTGAGGGTGGACTCCTGGATCGTCTCGTCGCCCTTGTTGCGTGCCCAGTCCAGGCACTCCTGACCTTTGGTCGGAAACTGGGAGCTGAACCAGCTCTCGAACTTGTAACTCCAAGCTTTCCAAACCTTTCTCGCATCTTCGTGCGAGCCCTTCAGGATGTCGGGCTTTCCAACGCCCTTTATATCCACCACGGAGGACTTCTTTGCCATGGCATCGAATGCCCTTACCTGGGCCTCAGCAGTTGCCCTTTGGGTGTTAACCTGCTCCTTCAAAGCGGCCTCCAGCAACTCGAACCTCCTGTTCGACTCCTGGCTCATCTGAGCCATCCCTGTCTGCACCTGCTGGAGGATTTGGCCGAAAATCATTTCAGCAGAGCCCTGTGCACCTGGTGCCGAAGTTGGGCTTCCACCAGGCGAAGCCATCACTTGTTCTTATAGAACTTCGAAAGGCGGTGGAGCACGGACCCTGACTGGCCCTGCAGGAGCTGGCCTATCGCGGCCCAAAGCCTCTGGAGCCTCCTCCACTTCCAGAGGTGCCTCAAAAGGCGAACCCACCTAGCCCTGGCCCGAGCCGATGCGGCTCTGAGCCTGAGCTGGTGGATTATCCACACCGATACGCCTCTGTTTCTCCGAGGTTCGGTTGCCACCACCGTCCAGGAGGCACTGGATCCAGCCGCCTCACTTCGGCGGCTCCTGTTCCAGCGCTCCGCTACCATGCAGCGGACTTTTAGGCTCACGGGGCCTTCTCTATGCTAAGCCAAAAGGGCTACGGTGACACAAAGCTACCAAGACACTGAACAGACAAAACAAGGCCTCTACTTTCCTACATAAACCCTAAACCCTAAACCCTAAACCCTAAACCCTAAACCCTAAACCCTAAACCCTAAACCCTAAACCCTAAACCCTAAACCCTAACGAGGTACATGGACCCTTAGGGATAACTAGGGAGCCGGGAGCCCTTCCTTGTAAACAACCGGAGACCCAGGTGGGATCTTGAAGGCTCAGGGCCCGCGATTGGGATGGGCTTGCTAGGGTTTAGGGTTTAGGGTTTAGGGTTTAGGGTTTAGGGTTTAGGGTTTAGGGTTTAGGGTTTAGGGTTTAGGGTTTAGGGTTTAGGGTTTGGGGTTTAGGGTTTAGGGTTTAGGGTTTAGGGTTTGGGGTTTAGGGTTTAGGGTTTAGGGTTTAGGGTTTAGGGGTTAGGGGTTAGGGTTTAGGGTTTAGGGGTTAGGGGTTAGGGTTTAGGGTTTAGGGTTTACGGTTTCCAGACCTAACACAGCAGGCGTGGAGACTCGTGGGTAATTGCTTATAGCTGTGCCCAGCCCGACAACCCGCCACAGACCTAAACCTTAAACACCCCACAACCCTACATCCTGCAACCCTCAACCCTAAGCCGCAACCCTAAGACCCGAAACCCTAAACCCTGAACCCTAAGCCGCAACCCTAAACCCTGAACCCTGAGCCGCGACCCCAAGACCCTAAACCCTGAGCCCGACAGGGTAGTCCGGGCGACCTGCCGCAGCACACAACACCCTGGGTTCGGACAAAAACTGGGGAGCCATTTCCTGCTTTAGTTGGGCTCACCCCCTAAGCCCCTACCCCTAACGTAGTAAGGGTTTAGGGGTTTAGAGTTCAGGTCTTAGCCCTGAAAAACCCCCATAAACCAAGCGGCCAACATGAAACGGCGGGGGCCGGGGGGGGGGGGGGGTCGAGTGGCACCCCCCTGATGCCTGTCGAACTGCTGCGCGGTGTGGAATTTTCGGTCGTCCTTGGACCGGTTTGGGTTGTAGGCGTTGATCATCGGGTCCCCCCAAGCCTTCCTCCCAAGGGACACCCCGTAAAGATCCCTTAGATCGATTTAGATTGGAAGAGTCGGAAGCCGCGGAGGTACCCCGGAAGAAAGGAGGCATGTAGAGATATCATACTCTTTTAATATTTGAACCCAGAGTGGCCCCAAACCCCAACCCTAAATCCCAAGCCCAAACCCAAATCTACCCAAAACAAGCCTCGACCCTAAAACTCTAGGATCCTAAAGCCTGGTTTAGGGTTTAGGGTTTAGGGTTAGGGTTTAGGGTTTAGGGTTTAGGGATGCTTCTAGCACCAGACTATGGCTTGGCCCAGCAGCTTCTGGATCGATCCTCCACTTCTCCGGCTGGTTGCTTAAGAAGAACCTGGGCGCTTGGCTCTGAGACGGGGACGGAGGGGGGGGGGGGGGCAGCTTCCACGAGTAGGGCGTAGGGTTTAGGGTTTATAGGGTTTAGGGTTTAGGGTGGGATGTTCCCCCCTTCATACTAGCAGTGCTTATAAATAGGGTGCTAGAATCCCCAGCAAGAATTGTCAGTAAGGGGGAACATCCCAAGGTTTAGGGTTTTAGGCTTAGGGGGCTTAGGATGCCATTTGTATCAGGAATCCTGCGCTGGCCCGAGAACGGGGAATCTAATTGAAAACGAGCCCCCAATGCGTGGCAGGGCTCCTCCTGCGCAGTCACCTAAGCCTTGCATATACACAACCCTTGTATCATAGCTAAAATCTAAACCCTAAACCCTAAACCCTAAAATACCTGTTCCACAAGTAACCATAAGGTACTTTTTGTAAAGGGACTCTTGTCCAAACACAACAACAAGGACCCTACCCCACGCAGGGGGGCTTCGGCAGGTACAAAGGACATGAATTCTAGAAACCCATAAACCCCAAACTACCCACAAACCATTGACCCTTCGCCCGAATCCCAAATGCCTGCCCCCCCCTCCCCCCTCAACAAGCCAAAAAAAAAGGTAGCCCAGTAACAATAGTATAGTCAGGGCGGTTGGTTACTTTATCAGGGAACCTAGCAGCAAAAATGAGCGGGCAACAGGGTACTACTGGGGCTACCAAGGAGAGGTGCCTGTAGAGTCCTTCTGGATCGGTCGCAATCACCGGCCCTATGATTTCCTCCACGTCCTCATCGACTAAATGTCGGGCTTTTAACGTTTTCGGGCCTTGTACCCTTTAGGGTTTTGGGAACTTTTCTTGCAGAATGTATGGTCGGGCTTAGGGTGTGTTTGAAGGTTTTTTAAGCTCAAGCAAGCCCTAAACCCTAAGCCCATTTAAGCAGTTTCGGGTTGGGACGCTTCTTGTGGCGTAAAAGGACTTCGGAAAGCAAAGGCGTGTTTGGGGTTACGGAGGTTACTGAAGGGTTTAGGGTTTCGGAAGGGTTGTTGCGTATGCCGGGGATCCCTACGCCCTAAACCCTAAACCCTAAACCCTAAAACCTAAAACCTAAACCCTAAACCCTAAACCCTAAACCCTATAAGCACACATCCACACAGGAACCCCGAACTGCCATCACCCGGGTCGCCTTGAACAGCCCAGTGAACCCAATATCCCTTAATCAAGGAGGATACCTTCAGTTTCTATCAATGTGCTCGGCATCTTCCTCAATCCAAGGGTATTGGGTTCCCACAACTCTACATATATATAAATATATACATACATACATACATATAGCATGTGTATACAATATACATATATAGAGATAGATATACATATATATATATACATATTTAGATGGTGTATTACAGCAATACAAGCTCCAAGACGAATCCTGCTTTGAATGGGTCCTTCTGCCGATGCATGGCATGATGATAAAGTCGCCACGTTTCCCATTTGGGGTTTAGGGCTTCGGGCTCAGGGTAGTTTAGGGTTGGCCTTCTTTACAGGTAGTTGAGTCGTCAGCAGGGTTCTGAGAACCGCCAAGCAGACCAAGTCAGGCTGCACCTAACTACAATTGCAGCCACCCTACTTCTAAACCACAGCCCTTGCCCCAGAACCCTTTGCCAAGAACTCTGTCCTCTGTGTAGACGTTCTCGTGCTCGTAGCACTGCTCAAGAACATCCTGGCATCCGGTGAAGGCACATGCCGGGCTTGCGTGACTCCACATGTAAACTCATCCAAGTCCTCAACCCGAAACTCTTGTCTCTAACACTGATGGACGTGGTTCTTGGGGTACAGGGTTGGAGAAGGTATGTGCAGTCTCGTGAAACGCCTCCGTTACGATGTATTGGAAAACAATTGCCACAAGAGCTTTGTCCAAACTTAACCGAGTAATCAGTACCGACGCCGCAGCTAGTGACGGGCCACAGCGTCAAAAGAATTCGTGCTACCGTCTTGGGGGGGGATATTATAGAATAACTACAGTAGGGACCATAAGGGAATACTCAATACTGTATACTACTAGTAATTAGTCCGACCCCTACATTATATTTCTCCTGCCAGGGCTCGGGGTTTGTTGGAGGGGGACAGACCATGCTAGACCATCTTGCCAAAGGTGTGATCTACATGAAGCTATGCACTAGCCTATTCCTAGTCGCTCCAATAGAGGGACACCCCGTATATGTAAGCTCGCCAGTGTCTACACTCACCCAAAAACTCCGTTGAAACCTTGAACTTCACATACGTCAAAGACTTGAATACGAAGTAAGCCTCAATCCTCGACTCTACGGCTTTGGGGCCTAAACACCTCTAAACTCTCAAAGCCAAGTTGAAGCCAACAAAAAAGAACCTAAAGCCCTAGCATCCTAAAGCCTTAAGAGCACTAAGCCCCTAAACCCTAGAGGCATGTTAGGCTCCCTGCGTCCCCCGAGGAATGGCCTTGAACTTCATGCCATCTCGGCTTTGAAGCGCCTGCGGCCCATGCTTTCTGTCGTGACTTTGGGATTGAGGGTTTAGACTTTGGGATTGAGGTTCTAGGTTTGAGAGTTTAGGGTTGGGGTTTGGGGTTTAGTTTAGCGTTTGACAGTTTTAGAGTTTACGAGGTTAGGGTTGGGGTTTGGGGCTTAGTTCAGGGTTTAAGAGTTTAGGGTTTAGGCAGATTAAGCCGAGGGTTTCGGCTGAAGGGGGTGACGAGTGGTCGTATGTTACTGCTTCGTGCTGTTGTATTTCAAACCCTACTGAGCGTATACCTCTTCACAGACCTGCACAGATGTTGCGACACAACAGTTCACGAAGGCTCAGTGAGCCTACTTGTCTTTTGGGGGCGGAGGGTTAAATCCAAGCTTTTAGTCTAATCTAACGCTTGAGAGTCGTCAGGGCCGGTTATGTGCTACTAGTAGAGTTCAGTGTTCCGGAACACTGAAAGCCTACACCCATCCAAGCTTGAGCCAAAACACCTACTTTCTGAATCCCTTAGGCCCTAGTCCGCTCATTTCTCTGCTTTTCAAAGTTGTACAAGTAAGCACGCCAGAAGCCAAAGGGGAACGTGCCTGATTTTAAGATGCACAAGACGTTTGGATCGCAAGCTTTACGTCGCACACGCGGCTTCCAACTTTATTGCGAGCTGTGTCTCTCACGACCCATCGAAGACGCGTGCTATGCTGAGTCACAGATTGCCTTCACCACGCAGCACGCCTGCACTTTTGGGTGTCTTCGCGTGCTTGTATCGGCTTTGG